GCAACGTGTGATAGAGGTTTTGATTGCAAATAGCCATTCTTTGTTGATTTTTTAAAGCTATGGAGCTAAAGTCATAAATCACCAATATTTAAACCTCAGAAAAATTACGAAATCTAATTAACATGATAAATTTTTTGAGACAGTCATCATATTGTAAAAAACATTAAACATACATTGATGTACTGTAAATTGTATTCTACACATAAATTGAATGCAATAAAAGAAATTTGGCAAAAATTAAAAAAGAAAGCTTTGAGATACCTATCCTATAATCCAGATCTGTATCCATATGACATCCCCATCTTTGAGATGCTTAAAAAAATTCCCAAGGAAACTGGTTTTAAACAAATTACAAAGTCTGAGTAAGCATGTGTAACGGGTTCAAACATCCAATGTTCCTTAAATAGCATGGCATTGTGCAACTAGTGTCACATTGGGACAAATTCCTAAGCAACTGTAGACACTTTTGAAAGTCATAAGATAACTTGTATTAAATAGCCTCTGACTACTTATTTAATGACAATACCCAATAAATAATAAAACATTATAGCTTATTATAATGAGAAAAACTAGAAATAAGAGATTCGTGTTTTTCAAATGTCAAATAATGTTCAGAAAAATGTACTGAAAAAGTTTACAAATGCACTATTTTCTTTTCCATTCAATTAAATTATAATTTGCTGAAATATTCAACTAGTGTTGGATCGTTAAATCCCAATAGCTTAAAAATATACCACAGAATCATGAAAATCTTTATGAATCAAAATTTTATATATGTATAGAATATTCAAGAAACAATATTAAAAAATTTCAAAAATAAAACAAAGATATATATCACAATCACATTATATTGCAATAAGAATACCAAATAACAAACATTGGAATCCCTTTTACTGAATTTATCAGTTTCCATCCATATATACAACATGAAAAAATATTTGTTTTCAACCGAAACAATTTTAGAATATTTAACAATCACAAAACTACAATTTTTTGACTCAATATATATTTTACATCAATATTTGAGTGACATATTAATCAGTAACTCAAATTATTATAGAAATACGGTAGAACCTAGATCTATTGTTTCCTCATGGAACCGTTCATAGCGAATGATTGATAGGTGAAAATGAATGCAGGTCAACATAAAATATCAAATGACTTGGAAATGTATGATAAGAAATAAAAAGCTAATGGACTAGAAAATTAAAAAGTTTACGACAAGTTTAAAATTTTTTAAATAACAAAATTACATATGTAAAAAGAATTTATTAATGTAGCATATTTGGAAATTTTCGTTTGAGCACACTTTTCTTCTTCCCAGTGCAAATAATTTCTGCCATTTTAGTATTTTCGCTATTGCTGTTCATTTTCAGTATATTCGTTTAAATACAGAAAGTTCCTCGTTCATTCTAAGATTTCAAGACTTTTTATAAACGTTGACACTGGCTATTTTTTTATTTCACCTTCTTCATCGGTATCACTTTGTAATCCTTAAAATGTCAACATTCCTGTTAAAATGTCAACATTCTAAAATCAGAACTTTCATCATTTACATCAACTGATGCATAAACATCACCCATGCCAGTTGAGGAATTTTCCCAAAACAAAATTTAACAATTTTTTTCTTCATCATTAGAATCTATGGTTACAGTTAGCTTTTTAAAATGAAATAACTTCAATATTATTAAATGTCTGTAGAAATTTTGTTGGTAAAATGAACATTAAAAGAATAACATTTGTGATGTGATCATTAAAACAAGATGATACATACGGGAATATGAAATATGCAGGAACAATGGATCAAGGTTTGACTGTATATTGAAATAGAATATTTTGAAACAAAATGGAATATCACAAGCCATATAAATTGATTACTAATAAAGATTACAAATATATATACACAAAACAATTACCACTACATCTTTAAAAAAAAGTCAAGGGCAATGTATATTAAAGAAATACTGATAAAGAATAAAACCTAAAATAAAAAAAAGACTAAAATAACAGATCACTAAACAAGTGTATATTAACATTAAAAAATAACATTTAATAAACATAACATTTTTATAATGCAACAAATCACCAAATGAAAAACTATTGAAAAAAAATTAACATGATCAAAAAAATTTTCGATGCATATTTCGTAATACCCCTAAATAGAAAATATTACGACTGTTATATTCTACACCTAAAAATATTGAATATTAAATGTACAACTAAGTAGCATTTTTATACTTTGAAATATAATTACAAAAAGTCACTAATTAATATTAAAGTTTAGATAAATGCAGACCAATTAATCTATAAGAAAACTTTAAAAAAAAGTTTAGTAATAGAAAAGTAAGGCTCAAACATACTCTACTATTCTGATAAAATGCCTTGATGAACATAACCAACTTTCCAATTTATATAACTAGCAATTCAGACAGCTCTAAACACCTGACAACTATAAATTTTTATATTCCAAAAGTATAAAACCAAGTTTGCTTCAGCTATTTTTTATTCATAAATAATGAATAGTAAGAAATAGCAAATGTTAATTAATTACACAGTAGAATCTTGCTTCTTAGAACCTCTTATTGGAATACCTCTGTAAGCAGATATTAATTCTGCAGTTTATGTGGGTTTTTTTCCCCCTTGCAGTTAGTTTTTAATTTCTTTTCCTTTTTTTTAGAAAAAAAATTTCAATAATATGCTGCTCCCATAATTCATCAGCTATATATAATGCGTAAAATACTCTGACATTTTAGGAGAGTAACAAATTGACGTTTTGTTGGTTGGTTTTGCTTAACAAATCTAAAAGTAGTAATTTTTGTTCTTACTAAAAGAAAGCATATAATATATAAATACCATAAAATATAATACTATGAAATAAAATACTAGAGAATCAGATGAAAGCTCTTACAAAATTTATTAAGGAATGTAAATCAATTAAATCAGCTAATGATTCAAAATTACATACTGCTTCAAACATGTAGATTTAAAAAAAAAGAAACAGTATGGATATTTGTAGCAATTGTACAGGTGAATTTAAAATAAAATATCTTTAACATATAGCAAAACTCATTAACATATTATTAAAATGGTCAATAACTTTTTTAAATTGCATGTTTATGTATATGAACATAAATAATTTTTATAATTTAATTACTAATATAAAGCAGCTCTAATGATGTATTTATTCAATGAGTAATTTTCTAACACTTTAATTTTATGTACATGTTACATTAAACACTAGTTAATTTTGATATAAAAGAAAAAGATATAAATACATATTTTTTTTAAAAAAAATGAAATAACACAATTTTTTTGTAGGCATTTACTTTGAAATTACTTTAAATTAAAATTGGAATTAATTGAAAGTAATTAATTAAAAAATTGAAATTTATATAAACTATGTAATTTATATAACTATTCCTTTATAACAAACTAATGGAATGTAGAAGAATTAGGAATAATAAAAATTACTCTAACCAGGTTTCAGAAAAGGATAACTTAAAAACTATCTAAAGAAATGCAATCTATGAGCAGATGAAACGTGAGAACAAAACTTTAACAAGCAATTTTTTCTTAACAGCATAGTTAAAGGGGGAAAAAGTCAAAGACTTAAATTTTAAAATATCATATATTTTTGCATCTCTGTATAGATTACAATTCAATATAAAATCCTGAAAAAGAAATAATTAAAAATGATCATAATAGCTTTAAATAATAAATTTATTTCTAAGATTAATGCTAAATTTTTTTTTTTTATCTAAGGATTAGTGTTAATTTTAGTACACCAAATTAGGTTATTTTTTTCAGAAATATTTTTTTAAGTATAAAATGTACATTATTTTTAATAAATAAAATTTTGTGGTGCTTAGAAAACATTTGTTATTTAAGAATTAAACTACAAAAATTAAGAGCTCATTCTCTTCTCTTAACCAGTCTTATGAGAACATTTAATATTATTGAAAGTAATGCATACTTTTAACAAAAATAAAAGCCCTGCATATTTTTATTGAAAAAAATGGTGACTTGCCTACATAAAGAGAGCTTAGAACTTTTGATTCTTAAATGAAAAAATTAAAATTATAACTTTTAAAATCTGAATATTTAATGCATTACCTGAAATAAAAATACAGTTTTAAGTATTATCTTTTACATTTTCAATAGACAAGTGAAAATTATAAGAGCTTTAAGTAGTTGTTCCTTAACCCGTAAACTTTTGGGAATGTTATCATTCAAAAAAACTCAAACATGTCTTAAAAAATTTCCATTTAAAAAAAATTGAATAAAACTAAGTTTAACACCAATAAAGATTGCTAGTTATTTTTATTTAAAATACTTCAAAAAATTCAAAAACAAAAAATAAGTTTTTAAATTTTATCTTAAAAGCAATATTAAACATTTCAATACTCTTAAAAATATTATCATAACATATTTTACGTAATAGTAATGACATACATGAAACTAGCAAAACATTTAAAATTAAGTGCTAAGCATAACTACTTCAATATTTCTTTTAAAGAGATTGGTAGTAAACAGAAAAATCAAGATAAACTAGAGTGATAATTAATTAAAAAAAAAACTTTTTTGTAAATATGAACTAAAAGTGTAATCGACAATAATAAATAAGGTAGCAACTAATAATATTTGCACATATTAATACTACATACAATATTTTTTTTCTTTTTAAAAATTGTAGAATGCTTAAATTATAACTACAGTACAGAACCCGTTATCCGGAAATCAGAAAACCGGAAAACCAAAAAACCGGAACGAAATTCGATAAATTTTCCGCCATATTTTTTAAAAAAAATTTTTTTTTTTCTTCATAAGATTTTAGGATTTTTCTTTCTTTTTGAAAAGATGTTTACCTTACTATCATTTTGGAAATAATCATTAGTGTATTGCTTCGTTTTTTCTTCTTTTTAAGATTATTTCCAAATATAATTTTTTTAAGTTGGGTTTAACAATAAAAAAAACGGCTTTTTGTAGCGATTCAGAAAACCGGAAAAATCAGTTATCCGGAATAGCGATGGTCCCGATCGTTCCGGATAATCGGTTCTCTACTGTATAATAATAGATCTCAAAAATAGCAAAGCAAATGATAAATCTATGGTTATAAAGGAGAATTTTAGCATAAATCTGACAAATCTTTAATCATCATCTTCTTCCTCTTCCAAAACTGGATCAACTGTGAGGGCAACAAATTCCTGCCTCTTCCTTTCAAGTTGTTCTCTAACCTATAATTTATATTACATTTTACTTTTCTATTTGCATTGTATTCTGATTTTCATGCAATGCAAATTGCACATCAATTTTTTCAATTATATTTATTAATTGTACAGACAATATTGGAAAAATCTAGAAAAATTTCAAAAATAAATTATTAATTCTAATATAACATGATGCCATAACTTTAATAATTGAAGCCAGTGTTTGGAAAAACTACATTATTTTTGTAGTTTACTGAAACTACTTTGTTACGTATGTAGTTAACCACAACTACTTTTCTTAATGTAGTGACTATAAACTACTTCGGAATTGTAGTAACTACTTTACAACTTTAAGAAGACGAACTTGGTTGGAGAACTTATATTTACACATATGTTCAAAATGGTTTTGTGAAAGTAATTAGCTTAAATTTAATATAAGGGAATAATTAAGAAATATTTACTCATGTTTACATGAGCCAGTTTGTTATTCTAAGAAATTTTTGTTTGAATTTGTTCCTTTAACCTTCAACTTATTATTCCTTTCTAAACAACAAATATTTAATTTAAGAAATGGGAAATTATCAAATACTTGCAATTTTTTAATTGTTTAATACTTTTTTATTTCCTCTAAGAAATTAATTAAATCGGAAATATGTTCAACTTGAAAGAAATTGAAGTAAGTCTACTCAAGGTTTTTTTGTAAAAATATAGAGTTTGGATTCAACAGGTGAAGGGTTTCAAACCGTAATTTTTCAAAGATTCGTATTAAATATCAATCCTATCGTATTACATTTTAAAACATTTACAAATCTCTATTTAAAAAGAGACAATTCAAATGCTTTAAACTGTGAAATTTGAATACTTTCAAAGAAACAAATATATATAATCAAAAAGCTCTTTCTATAACTCAACAATCTAGTATTATGACTATCAATGTTATGAAATTAATTCTTTTGGAAGGTATTTATTCTAGTTGTCTCACATTATTAATAAATAATATTATTTACCACATCAGTTAAAACTATAATTCTACCATCAGCTTTAGGTTCTAATCTACACTGTTCATGCTCCACTTTGTCAATAGACGTTTTGGACGATTTATCTTGTAGTTTAAAAAGATTTCGTTTGGCAACAGCATCTAAACTTAATCCTCTCTTCAAAGGTGCTCTGCTGGAAGTCTGACTACTGTCTTCAAACATTTTGACAACACTATGCCTAAAAATGTAGAAAACAGTTTGAAAAAAAAATGACATTCAAATTTACTGATAATAAATTGTAAGTTAGCAGAGTAAATAATATTAATTAACAACTCCATACTTGGCAGAAGATAGTTTAAGACTTCACATAAAATTATAATGATTGATTACAACACTGCTATTGAAAAAAAGGCAATGTTCCATTCTTGAAGGTAGAAGAGTCTAGCGGTTTACTCAATCAATGTTTCAGCATTGTGTATTGATGGAAAGGACTGTTAGGCTTGTGGGGATATAGTAGTTATCAACCATGTTAACCGCCATCTATGAAAAGGTACCCCGACATAAGGTACCGGTGTTTTATATACTACTAGTGAATTATAATTGTATTTTTGTAGTGGTAGATACACTATAGTACTCCCCCACCGGAATTATATCTGTGATAGCATTAGATGAATGGATACCACTAGTTGATTCATTGCTGTTTTGTCAGAAGCCGAGAGAGCTGTATTGAGATCACCATACTTTTAAATGCTGACTGTGAGAGCTGTATTAAGTTCAATGTGAACCATCCATCGAAGTCGAAGCTTCTGTCAAGGTAGGCGTGTTGTCCACAATGTCAACCTTCATCAATGAAAAGGTACCCCGACATAGTATTGAGTTAACAAGTCCTATATTCTAGTGAATTGGAATTGTATTGCAGTAGGGATAAATACACTACAGGCTCATCTTCTTTCATGGGGGGGGGGAGATCTTTTATCCAATGGACGTTAATTTGATTACTCCACACTCAGAAAAATACTGAAACCATCAACTGCATTTGGTTTAGCTTTATTAGAAGGTATATTGAAATTATCTATGGAAAAACTTACAATCAATGCTTGGCACAAGCGCAGCAATAAATACTTGATATAACAAAAAATTAACTAAAAATGAATGACACTTTCAGTAAATTTTTTTCACAGATTCTTTCTAAAAAAAAATCTTGTTTGTGAGTCTAAAGCAATAAGTAATAAATACAATAACATTTATTATGCATATTATGAAACAAAGAAATATTTCCACAATTTTTTGCTTTTTTATCATTTTTTCAAGTAAATAACAGAAATAGCAATTTAGTGATTTTATACATTACCTTCTTGATAAGCAAACTAAACTTTGTCTATGCCGGGTTTTATGCTGCACTGCACCGGTGACAACTTTTATAGATTCAAAATGATTTTGGACAGCTGTGCGTAGCTCAGGACTCTCTTCATCACTTAGCTATAAGATTAATAAAATAACAGTAACTATTCATTTAAAAATATGCTATAAAAAAAAACCAGAGACCTATACAACTTATAATATTTCTACATGTACAGAACTTACCAAAACTTCACAATCTTTCAGCATATCATATCCATCTCGTCCTTGATGCATATATAATTTTGTAGCTAGGCGGTATTTCTGAAAAATAAAAATAAACATATATTATATATATTATGAGGATGCACACACAGAGGAACCGCGATTTTACGTTTTACGTTAGATTAGCGTTAAAAAAGGCTTCAGAAGTATAAAAGACAAAAAACTTCTTTTTCAATTTTCTAAAAGTTCCAATCAAAATACACAATATATTTTTAATGATTATAAAGATTGTAGAACATTACTTTTGAAAACATCTTATGAATTTTAAGAAAATTATAAAAATCAATTCTACCTTTATAAACTTTATACTATACTTGGATGGTCAAGGACTACATTCCCAATAGCCCCCTCTAAATACAGTCTGCGTAGTCTTTTGCAAAAGTGAATAACATTTTCCCTGCTTACAGATTCAAACATTTTATAATTTAAAATTAGTAAAGCACTGTAAGTTCAATTAGTATAAGATTCTGATCATTTTACAGAGTTCTAAACTATATGCAAATTTTAAAATAAAAAGTATTGATTATAATTAAAATTGTTGTAATTTTTTATCTCATCACTCAAACTTCTTTATGAGCCTAATAGCATTTAACAAGCCTCGGTTGCCTAAACTACACGCAATTTTCAACATTTCCTACCCAATTTTAATTTTGCACTTTAACTGGCACATAAAAAATTATGAAACTTAACATAATTTTAGAAAAATTTTCAAGGAACATGCTGATAAGAAAATATTGATACAGTTTTTTAAATATATTTCTTATAATTTTCTTTATTATTTTTAATTAATTTACTTTCTTAACTGTGAAACTTAGAAGGTCAGCAGGAGAGAAATGAGAGCTCAAATAACAGAATATCATATTTTTAGCAGCAATGCACTTTTTTGACTAAAGATGACCACTACATCTCAATGTGTTTAAATTTAATAGTTTTTATTAATGGTTTTTCAGATTTTGTGATGTAAAAGAAAAAGTAATGATGGTAAAATTATAATTTTTTGTAGTAACATATTTTTATGCCTGAAGAAAAAAAAAAAATTTCTCCGTTTTCTTAAATTTTGAATTATTTTTTAAGTTATTAATTTTTAAAGTTCTTGCATTTTATTGAAAGTCATTTATATAATTCGAAAAGGTTAACAAAATATAAATTTTCTTCTCCCTCTCTTTCTGAAGACAATGTAGCTAAACAACTTGCACTAAATTAAAAGTAATTAGTAGATTCTTTTAACTGGAAAGCTCTACATAAATATTTTTGCTAACTGAGATATTTTCTAAATTCTATCTATCACAACATCTTCATTTCAAGCAAAATTCTTTTTCTAGTTTAATAATATGCCAGTTTATTGAAGACTCCAGAAAGCAAAAAACAGGGCAAAATCCCCATATAAAAGTAAAGTACAAAAGAAATAAAAATATAAGTAGAAAAGCTTAAAAATGGAACAAAGTGAAATAAGTAAGTCTAGCAAGCTGAGACACAGAATAGATCTGAAATGAACAGCATAAGCAATTCAGAGAAACCGAATACTTTAATACAATAAAAAAAATTAACTATAGAAAAAGTAAATACCTGATTCATATCTAAATATTCATCTCCTATTTTAATATAAAGAGGATCTATTCTTTTTCCTGGAGGTTTCTTAGGATCAAACGCAAAACTAACACCTGAAACTTGAGGAAACCGACCTTCTAATTTTGGATATTGTGAAACTCCATTTTCTAAAGCTAAATAAATATTCTCACCTGCAAAAATTCATATGAGAGAACAAGTTATATTACAAATTAACTACTTAAAAGTAAAAAAACATATCAAAATTTAATTTCTACAATTTGCATTACAGAAAGCCTCTTTTTATAAATAAATATTAAAAAATAAAACTCGTGAACAAAATATATATTTACTAGAGCATGAAGGTTGTGCAGTCTAATTGAAACATTTCTTTTATAAAATTATGCATAAGTTATTTTTAATGACCAAGATATACAGCTTAAACAAATCTTTTTTTTAAATCATAAAATAGTATGATAATTTGTGCATTAAAAATAGACAGAGTATCACAATTTCCTTTGGGGCTCGGAAGGCTTAGAACAGACAAAATATTACTAAGATATCAAATTTTACCTTAACTGATACAAAAATGCACACAAATGTTTAATATGTGAACATTTGGTAATGAAGCAGATATCAAGTATTACAGCCAAATTCTAGGCACACATTGCCATATCACAATCAATGGTAGCGAATGCAGTAGTGATCCTTTGCTGTAATTCTATTAAATCACATGACATATTTTTTGATGCTACCCCATAAAAATATCACAGGGTGAAATAGTTATGGAAGGAGAAGATTGTCATTGTCCTAGCTGCATTCAATTCAACGATGAGGAAGCTCGTAGCTTAGGAATAATAGAGAATAATTGTTTAATAATATCATCTGCCGTATAATAGAGGAATCCTCCATTTTGTAGAAAAAGAAACAGCACATAATTTTTCTGTAATTGTGGCGCTCACTGCGGTTCCAGTATATCAAAGAAACAAACACCATTAATCACAAATCAGTGGTTCTGATATTAATATTTGTGGATAAAAACCTGCGATGTTTCATTATCAGGTAAAGTAAAATTTATTGATGCTTTGGTAATATTTTGTTTGTTATAAGCTTTCCAAGCTCTGGAATGAACCGTGACGCACATGTAAGTAGAAGAGGAGAGTTTGTTCTTTTACTTAACTATGTTCAATTCTATAGTATAATAACCCATGGATTGAAATAGTGAAATGTTTCAAAAACATATTGTTTAAAACATGATTTTTTCAATGTTTACATCAAATTTAAAGTCATATGTTTCAAGCATCAAACCCCTAAAAAAATTTCCTACTACATTAAATTTTGATGAAAAATTATTAAAAAAGTGTTAGAAATTAAGTAAAAAAAGGTGATTTATTTCAAATCAAACAGAATGAAGAGTAATTTTTTAAAAAAAGAACAATCAAAATGTGCTTAATAATAAAGAAAATGTAACTCACCAGGAGCATTTAAAACAATCAATGGATCCATCATGGGTAATAGATTTACTAAATCCCTTAGTTTAAAATTCCCTCTTGGTATAATTCTATCAGCCCTTAAAGTGCCAGAATTTAGTAATGCTAGATCAGAATGTGTTGAAGAAAGCATTACATCACAGATCAAGTTACCTAAAAATGTTTCACACATTTAAAATAAAATCACAGCATCCCAATATAAAACTTTAAAATTGAAATGAAATCTTTAGATTAACCAAACACTCGTTTTTTTTTTTTTTAATGTGTTGTGTAAAAGAGAAAAAACATTTGTCTAAAACATCTAAAAATTTAATGTTTGTTATGTAATCAAAATTTTTATTTACAATTTTCAAGTACTTTCCTCATAACAAATTTTCATTCGTTAAATTTTCAATCTATTTTTTCTATCCATTTAATATGTAAAAGTACAATCTTATAACCACTATAAATCAATAAATCTCAAATATTAAAAAGATAAATTTGAAAGCATAAAGCATATTTAGGATATTTAAGTAAAATTCTTACAATATATAGGGTTATAATAAACCACTCTAGCTCAGTTTGTTATTTTAACATTTTCATTACGATAAAAGAATACAAAAACACAACCCAAACATCACTTTTTTACATCCACTCAAATTAAACGTTCGAGAGAAAACGCGGAGAGGATCATGGGCGAAGTTTATCACTAGTGCAGTCTTGCGGGCAAACCAGGCATTACAGGGTTAAATTTATATAAGAAAATAAATTCTTACCAGCGTTGGTTTCTTGGGTTCTAATACTAGAAAAACGTGCATCTAAATCAACAGAAAACTGCCCTAAAACTTCATCCATTTTTCCAGCAACGACGTCTACAAAACAATAAAAAAAATTATATTTTACTAAGCAAATCTTTTTCGTTGGCATCTCACAGTAGTAAGAGCATGACTAAAAAATTCTATACCAAAACATAATAATAAATAAGTTCTCATAAGTATTTTTACAAATGTTATGTTATGCATTTATTTCAGCAAATAGAGTTGTTTATGTTATGCATTTATTTCAACATATAGAATTCTTTGAGAAAATTTGTAAATAAATTTTCATTCAAAAACAATTTATAATGTATGAAATTATTAATAAAAAAAAACTTTGCTTTCACAATAGACATAAATGAAAGCAGAAAAATAACATAGCCTGTAAAGAATTAAAGGAATATATATACAGGGTGGCCACTCAAATCAGATTTCAAATTTCCCTGACATTTCCAGGTTTTCCAGATAAAAATCTTAAAATTTCCAGATTTTTGTTCTTTTTTCTTATAAAGTATAGGATGTGTTCAAGAAAAGTGTCTATATTATAAAATATTTTATTCAAAATGTTATTTTTTTAACATATCATCTTGAAAAAAATAATTTATTTTGACAATTTTCAAGATTTTTTATTTATTTCTTAATGTTTTGGTACAAAATTTTGAATCAAAAATCAAATATTGACCAACAAAGGAGCCTTTTTTTAAAAATTAAAATATGTTATAAGAGGTTAAAATGAAATAGAAAAAATTGCCAATAATGCAACAATTGTAACAATTTGTCAACAAATTTATAAGAATTTTATAAAGTTAAAAATACAAAAACATTTTGTCAAAAATAGAGAAAAAAAAATAACCACCAAAGCATTGGAACAAACTTGAGCCATAAATGGATTCAGCCCAAGGACAGAATTTAAAAACAGAAGCTAATATCCTAATCCCTTTTTCCACCAGAATTTTTCCTAAATTCCCATAGCGGTCAAAGGTTTCCACATTTGCTTAGCAACCGTGGGAGAATTTTATATGGCATTCTAGTTTAACAGAACTATAATGGAGCAAATTTTGATGCAGGCAAAGTATCGCTAAGTTGATGATATTTCAACTGTTTGGCGATACATTTCCGTTAAAAAAAAGTGGGTATAATGGATGAAATAATTTAAATTAAGAAAATTAGCAAATTGTTTAAATTAGTGAAATTAAAAAAATCAAAGAAAAATTACCAGCTTTTCTTTAAAATTCCCTGATTTTTCCAGGTTTTTATCCAAATTTCCCTGATATTTCCAGGTTTTTTCCAGTATAAAAAAATTCCCTGATAATTCCAGGTTTTCCAGGTGGGTGGCCACCCTGATATAGTACATGGCTTTTAATTTTTATGACCAGATCCTTTACTCTTATGGTCTATGAAAATACCAAAGCTTTTTAAATGAAAGTGGATAAAATCAAAAAAAAAGCATACAGAACATTTGAAATAAAAGCAACATTTTGTATTTAAAAAAAATTAAATTAGAGATACCATTATATACAGAGAGCTGTTCCTTTAAGCCTTCATCTTCTGGAAATTTGGAAGTGATTTCCACTTTTTCAATTTCAACATGGACTGGCTTTGAGTTAAAATCTAATGTAAGTTTTGAAAACTCCCTAAAATCTGTTCCACTTTTTATTATGTACTTTCCATTAACCTAATTTTAAAAATACATACATTAAAATAGATAGAGATGTGCATATATTTAACTAAATAAATAAATAAATGATCTCTTTATGAATAAAGATAAATTTCACAAAACAATTAAATATAATTTGTTATATGATGTTATAATGCATATACAGGACCCGCCCTAACTACTTCAAATTACTAACCAGTAAATTATCTAAAAATCAAAAGTATTAGATAAATTTCAAAATTCTTAGCCAAAGGCAAATCTTAAAAATAAAAAAAATTTATGATTAATTATTTAACATAGAAAACTTCGAAACATAAGACAAATTATACTATAAATTGAATTATTTTATAAAATGCAAATTTGAATCAAGAGTCATTTTGCAGTTGGGGAGGAGTAAAGGAGCAACAGGGAAATATATATATATATATATGCTTTTTTTGTCATCTTAGAAGTTAAAGAATAAGGAATAGGTTGTGGTTAATTTTTGATAACTTCTTAGATTAAAGCAATAATATAAGGATAAACCATAGGCAACATGTTGTCCCACGAAAACATTTTCTGGTAAATTTGTTTGTCTCATGCTTACATAGTCTCTCTTATTACTTACATTATCTACATCTAATATATATAATTCTCTTACGTGGCTCCCAAATTTTGGCTGTATTTCTTTTCCGCCGGTGGCAACAGTTTTCATTTTTAAAGAAGTACTTTGTACAAATAAATAAGATTCTTTTCACAACACTTAAATATTTACTTTATTTTCTTAATATATACAGAGAACAGTAGGAAAAGAATTCTGTTAGGTTAAAAAACATTTAGCTAAAAAAATAACGAATTCTAAAAGAAATAAAAATAAACAACTTAAAAAATAAAAATGCTGTTGCCAGCCATAGAATTTTTTGAAAGTTAACTTAGCAACATAAATCAAAACCACATAGAAGAGCAACTAGATCAAAATTATGATACCTGAGCCCTTGACGTAACAAATCCTTCAATTCTATAAGTGTCGTATCGCCAAATGCCCAGATAATATTGAAATGTACAAGTTTAGAATTTTCTACAGTGAAAAGTTTTCGGAACTTCAGTATTCAAAAAAGTATACAAAAGCTAGACGTAAAGAACGTATCCAATGAGCGAGCAAAGCGAGCATTGGATTGCGAAGCAATCCGAAATGAACTGCGAAAGCAGTTCCGGGGGTTAGCGAGCGCCAGTGAGCAGGGGGTTAAGCCTCCTAGTTTAATATAATTCTAATTGGTTATGCGATGTATCTAATGGAAATTACTGTAAATGAATAAAAAACACCAGGATTTGTTCAGAAAAATTACCTTTGATCTTTTTTTTTTCAGAATTGAGGGGAATATATATTTTTCTTTTCGGTAGAAAAGAATCATTCGTCAATACTTTTGTTAAAAATAATTTTTTCGTCGAATTTATGATTTTATTGCATTTGGCGAGGTGGCGGATGCTTGACCTGGGCCATGCATATATAAACACAATATTTGAATAATCCTGCTGCAACTAATTTGTTAAAAAGTTGAAATTGGTGTGGTTCATACATCACAGCATATGAAGTTCTCCTTTAAAGAGAGGGTTAATTACATCTTTGTTCCTTTTGAAACACAGGACCTATCAAGAGCAATTTAGGGATGCAAAACTTGTGGCATCAGGGCCAAATACTTTCCTTGAATAGTTTGTGCGATTTTGTGCCTATAAACCGAAAATTAATTGGCATAAACTATGTAATTAACGCAGAAAATTTTACACCTTTTTTTTCTGGACTAATATCTATAAATTTTGAAAAACGCCAAAATTATAGCCTTACAACTGCAAAATGTTAAGATTCTTTATATTTAGATTATAATTTGATAGTATACAAAACTTTCTAAAAAACACTCTTTACTTAATTCAAATTTTGTGTACCCCTCTTAGTTTAAGGTGAAAAATGCAAACTGTATTTATATTACTGACACAAAATGTAATTTTTAAAAAAAAAAATGAAGCAAAAATAATATAAATATACAGAATTTTAATTAGATAGTAGCATTAAATTTCACTTCATTCTGTAATTTTAAAGATTACTATAAAAAAAATTACTTTTTTTATTTCATAAACATGGTCATGACCACCAAGGATAATATCAATTTCATCCACATTCTCTGCAAGACGACAATCATTTGGAGTTCTCATATGAGTCAATGCGATAACATAGTCAACACCAGCCTATTGAAAGAAAAAAATTCAGACAATGAACTAAAAGTAATGTTTAAAATGCTAAACAGAATCCCTAGTTCTGAATTACAATTAACATGATCTTATGTGCATTTTGATATTGCATAAATGTTTGACATATTTTAATAGTAGTAATAAACATAAAGACTAAAATAGGACTGCTAACTTTCTACTAAGCTGCTTCGGCAAATTTCCTCTAGTGGTAGTTCAGTTTCTCTTTTAATGTATAATTATTTTGATTTAAAGTTATTTACCATGCTACTTCATGTAAATGATTCTAAACTTCATATGAAGTGCTACTTTGTTCTAGCTGATGAGGCTTTAAAAATGTTTGTAAAATTATTATATTCTGAAAGTTTTAGTTTGTAATTGTTCTAGCTGATGAGGCTTTAAAAATGTTTGTAAAATTATTATATTCTGAAAGTTTTAGTTTGTAATTGTCTGTCTACCACTCAATAAAATGTTTCGCAAAAGGCATAGTATTTGGTAGCTCTGCAAAAATAACAATTGTAAGCTTTCTATTCATGCTATTTTATTATATAAACAACATTGAATAGCCGACCCAATTCTTAGTTTATGACTATCAATGCAGGGATAGCTTGGTTGATAGGATATTGGGCTCATGCTCGTGCGAATATGAGCTTAAATCCCGCCAGCCAAAGAATCCCCGTGTATTAAATGGAGACTGGTGCTCATTAAACCTGTTGAGGTCACAAAGCCCTCCAAGTTCCCATAACAAATCAAACTGAATTGGAGATAGATCATTCTCTGGTTCAGGTAAGAATTTATCATATGTGGATGAATGAATGAAGTAAGATTGGATTCGTAAAACAGGATGTGACGTGTGTGTGGCTGAAGTCTTATTCTTGGCCATAGAGAGTGCCACTGAAAAAAACAAGAAATGCAGTCGCTGCCTTAAAAATTCACTTGATTCCCAAGCATGCTTGCTGATATTGGCAAGTGGCATAAGTAACAGATTATCAGGGTATGACTCCAAAATTACAAGGCAACTCTGTAGCTAGTCATTTTGAATTCAACCCAGAAAACAAGAGAACTCTTGGATCAAGCATTGGGACAAACTATCTTAAAAATTTAAGTTAAATTCCAATCCTTTAAAAGCCTACATTTTTGAAACAAAATAAAAAAATTATGATTTAGGGTTTAACAAATTATGTAAAATACATTGAACCAATTTATTTCATTTTTTTATTTAGTTTTATTTTTACATAAATCAACAAAAACTTTAGATACTAAAAAGCTCTTTAAATGCAAGAGATAAAATAAAAAAATTAGAAGTAAATAATTTAGATGAAAACTAAAGATATTATACTAAACAAAAGACAGTCAAATATAATAAAACAATCATAAATTTATTGGTAACAAAAAAAGTTACTAATTTGCAACCCTTCACCCCCTCCTAGAGTTTGCAATCATTAATTATTTCTTTTAATTAACAATCTAAGAAGTACCCTCAGTTTTAACCACAGATATTCCACTAAAGCTCATACATTATATCAAAATTATACCATGTATAATGATATTAAAGTTTCTTGTAAATGCCCATCAAATTATAATACAGTTGACTCCACTTAATATAATCACTTTGGGGGATTCTAATAATATTAACTAATATAGATAATAATAAACAAAACATGAGATTAGATAAATTTAATAATTTTAATACAATGTTTCTGCATTTCCTCCAACATTGAAAACCACCATTTGTTACAATGAAATCTTTTTGATTTTTTAAGCTGCTTAAATTTGTAACTTTCTGTTGCATAAACATTCCATTGACTGGTTCACGTTCATCATATTCTTGAACATTTTCTTACAACAGTATAAGAGCTTTCAGAACTTGTTCATTTTTACCAGCTCTATTTCTTTGTATCCTGTGTTTTCATATTGTTTTTTTTTTATTTTATTTTTTTTTCTAAAAAGATGATTTTTCCAAAACCTTTACTTTTATGTTCATCTGTGCTGCAGCATTATGTTAACTAATTTTTCCAATATGTAATAACTTAAAATGTAGATCTTTGGCAGTTTAGACAATTATCAAAAAATAAATAAAAACACTGATAATATTAAATGATGTAATAGTCAGATAAAGCAATAATTTTAATATACAAATGACAGAGAAAAATCAGACTAAGTGATTTTCATAACAATAAACCAGTGATAACATTAAGGGGAGACTACTGCATATTATGTGCCTTACCTTATCTCTCAATTGTTTAGCAAGTTTTTTACCCTCAGTTACAAAATCTATATATGTAACATCACCTGGATCTATTGTTGCCAAAGTAGCTAACCACTCTTCCTCAACTAGGCCAATGATACCAAACTGAAATTATAGAAAACTAAGTTTATTTTCCATTAGAACATTGCAATAAAAATGTATTATTTGGGCTAAAAAAATATAAATATTCAAAAAAAAAAATTTTCTAGCTTGTACCTGTATAAAGAATTTAAAAATAAATTAAAATTTAAATCTCTGACACAGTTGACGCAATTTTTAACAGTCATATAACAGTTGTGATCAAAGATGAAAAAATCCTTCATCCAATTTTAGTCAATTTTACCTAGAAATGTATGAAATTTCAATAAAACCAATGCAGTAGCTTTTTTGAACGTGTTCAATAACTCCAAATATAATTTATGTTTCTGAAACAATTGAGAATGCATTTTAAATTTTTCATTCCAACACAGAATTTTTAATTTATATTAAAATTCATTACCCACCTTTATTCCTTTCCTTTCTAAAACACATGTCACTTTGCCATCAGCTAGTGGAGAATTCGTTCCATTGTCTACCACATTACTGATCAACCATGGAAATGATGTTCTGCGAGCAAAGTCCATAAGATTGTCAACGCCAAAATCTGAGACAAAAGCACCAATTTGATTTTACAAAATGACATCTAAAGGAAAATTGAAAATGCAAAAAATGTGAAAGCATGTATAAATTACTCTGGATTCTTCAGGAAGTTATTGAATTTTATCCAAATAGTGGCTGCAACTACAAATGTTTTAAGCGAATGCAATTCAGTGTTTAAAAGGAAATCGGACGTTATTATTAGAAATAGGAATTACTTGTTGGAAACTATGCTGAACTGATAAATATTTGTTTCCTTTAAAAGTGAATGAACATTCTACATTTACTTTTTTAAATTACACCAACAAAATGAATAGAATTGTTCAGATTGTTATTGGGAAAGAAATATTAACATATTGGAGAATAGAAAGAGAAAATGACGTAGGGAAGAAATATATAGATATTGAGAAAGAGAAAATGATGTAGGGAAGAGATATATAGATATTTGGAAAGAGAAAATGATATGGGGAAGAGATACAGATATCAGGAAAGAGAAAATTATGTAGGAAAAAGATATATAGATATTTGGAAAGAGAAAATGATATGGGAAAGAGATACAGCTATCGGGAAAGAGAAAATTATGTAGGAAAAAGATATATAGATATTTGGAAAGAGAAAATGATATGGGGAAGAGATATAGATATTGGGAAAGAGAAAATGATGTAGGAAAGAGATATAAAGATATTTGGAAAGAGAAAATGATCTGGGAAAGAGAAAATGATATGGGGAAGAGAAAATGATCTGGGGAAGAGATATTGATATTGGGAAAGATATATGTAGATATTGGGAAAGATATATGTAGATATTGGGAAAGATATATGTAGATATTGGGAAAGAGAAAATGATGAAGGGAGGAGATATGTAGATATTGGGAAAGAGAAAATGATGTAGGGAAGCACATTACCACTAGTTTGAAGACCATAAACAATATGAAACACAAAAATGTATAAGCAAGCACAAGGGCTAATCAAATGCTATATTTGCTTAGGACAAAAGTTAAATTTGCAGTTTGGGTAGAGATAAATTGAAACTGCATTATCTTTACCATTTGGTTTGGTTTTATAACTGCAATAAATACATATCTGATCACTGCCATTCATTAAATATTCATAAATTTTGAATTGGGTTTATTTAAAAAAATAAAAGAAGAAAAAAAGGGTGGACTATCCCTGCTTTCTGTGCTGGCCAACCTCCGGAATTGCTTTCATAGTTTCTTTCAGTTAGTTTCACTCGTAGACTGAATACTTATGTCTGGCTTTGCTTTGCCTTCTTGTAAAATGAAGTTTTAAAACTATGTTAGCTATACATCATGGTAAAATATTTAATTAACATTTCACAAAGTTTTTATGCATTACGATTCGAATGATATGTATTTTAGGGCTAATTTAGGATTCCCACAGCCTGGAAAATTTTAAGTGGTAGCAAAAATTTTAAGATGATTTAAACTATCAATGAATATTCAATTAAAAGGAAATATATATATATATATATATATATGGGTGCATAATATAACGACAATATTTTCTTAATTCACAAATGGAAAATGAATTTAGGCATTTTTCAGTAGCCTTGAAAAATCATAGCTATCACTCATTTGTTTTTTAAAGAATTAAAGAAGTTGATAAAGAAATAGATGATTCCGAAGGGAATATTGATAAAATTAGAACTTTTTGATACTAAAATGGAAAAATTACTTTCTTATATTTCTGAGAAACACAATATGTCCGTTACTAGCCACTTAGTTGCTGCTCTGACAAATTTACAGCATCCAAAGATTAAGCTTCCAGTCTTTGAAGGAAATTTGAGAAATTGGCTTAGTTTTTGGTGCCAATTTGAAAAAATTGACAAAGATGCAAATACTGGCGACCAAGATAAATTCCTTTATTTATTGCAATCCATGTTAAAAGGATCACCTGCTGATGAACCTTTAAAGAGTTTTTCTCCGAGAGGAGAGAGTTATAAAACTGCTGTTAATCAACTTAAATCATCAAACCGAATTAATTGCTACCATATCAGTCACTCAATTTATATTAACCTTTATCAACTCATCAGAACTCCGCAAAAATTATTAAAACATATTTTCCAAAAATAATAAATTAAAACAACCTTTTAAGATACAATGAAAAAGCTTAACCAATGCTAATAAAATTTAATAGCTTTTATTGCATAAACATTAAACAAATTTTGTGATATCTTGAATATTTGTGCTGGAGATTCAATATTAGTTTCAAAACACATTTATTCTACTAAACATTCTTATACTTGTTGATAGTATTTTAAAAATCTTATGGTTTTAGCGCTTTAATAATACATTTTTTATAGAACAAAAGCTAATAATTTTTTCAAACTATACTTGATAGTCATTACTGGAGCTTTTAGAATTTTAAAATTTTAACACATGATGGACTTTTTATAAGTAGCAAAAACAAATTAGATTAAACAATAAATGACCATAACTAAGAAATATAATTAAAAAAAAGTCTTATTAAATATTAGATTTGTTTGACGAAAATATTATTTACTAAATGAAAAAAAAATAGTTTAAAACTTTAATCCCAATAAAACAAAAAAGTTTTAGCATATTATTTAATTAATATGCATAGAACATTTTACAGATGCAACATTAAAACTCAAAGGAGAATGCTGAGAAGCAAACAAACTGAAAACAAAACTTGAGCATAGAACCAAATTTAATTTTGCTTACAATGATTTCTCAACATATTTTAAACAAATTTGAACACCAATAATTTTTAATTAACATGTAAACATACCAAAGTCATGATTGCCATAACAAGCACAATGAACACCACAAGCTTCTAACACAGGTATCATCTGCTCCCCTTTAGTAAAGGTGCTCACTAAGGTATAAAAATAAATAATTGAATGTTTGATTAATAATTCATTTTACATTTAATGATAATGACAGAAAATTAAATGTAAATAAATAATAGAAAAATAATGATTCGATTACATCAAAACAAATTATTTTTGCACGACAACAGACAGAATTGATAAATTCCTAATTTCTATTTCAGCTATAAAATTCTAAAAGACCAAGCCTCTTTTAATGGAGCCCCGATTTTATGAAAAAGGTTTATTAGCTGTTGTAAATAAATATAGCAACCAAAAAGAAAAAAAAAAGACTACTAGTTATTTCAAAAATATTTAATAGGAAGAATGAAATATGCATGAATTTGTTACCATATGCATTTGCTGAAAATGAATTAAATAAGCTGAATTATGGATCTTAAAACAGAACTGTTATAAACCTAGAGAATAATAATCAGAGAAACAATTCTTTAGTTTCAAATTTGGTCATTTTATTTTGAATTTAAAAACTTGATAAGAAATACTACTTATGGAATTTTTTATAAATGCATATTCTATATATTGTTATATAAGTTCAGAACAATATATATGCAGTGTTAAGTCCCTTATCTGGACTATGGACTTTTCGGGACTTCGGCAAGTCTGGAAAAAAGATTTTTCCAGATAACATCAAACATCTTTAACAACATGATAAACAAAAATCAAAACATCCTTATTTTAAAAAAAAATTTCAAGAAACAATAATTAATGTCGATTTCAATCAACAATGAATAAATCCACATGGTTTGGGTGGTTGCCCTATTTTCGCAGCTTTTGTTGCAGATTTCCATATGGTTTTAAAACTCTCCATATTTTAATATGTCATTTATAAATGCAGATTCCAAATTGCCCTTTTAAATAATCCTTTTGTGACCCCCTTTAATTGTCACAATTTCATCTCAAATTTAAAAAAATTTCAAAATATAACAATTTTGAGCATTTTAAAGTTGAATGCATGATTCTGGACAATAATATGCCTTTATGCGAGACTTAAGGAAAAACATATGATATTTTCGCACAGTAGCAAAATACTAGATTTCATTTCCATGATATCCAATTTTTTTACTATTATAGCAGAAATTAGATTAAAATAGAACAAAGATCAGAATTTGGGTGAATCATAAAGCAGAAAAGCAGAGAAGATCAGATGCATTTGTATTTTGAACAACTAGAAAGAAAAGCTTACATAAACCTACTTTTTTACATAATTATTTAACACCAATTAGTAATGATGTAACCAAATTATTGCAAAATTGAACCACCAGAAAGAACTATGTCAAAAACTGGTGAACCCTAATACTGACCCATAGGAAATAGGACCCACCATAGGGGATAGGATTTTCATTATTAGCATGACGATCTAACCAACTAAGCTAATAGGCTGGACAGACAATTGGCTGATAAAATAATACCTATGTCGAAACTTTGTTCTCTGTCTGAGATAGGGGACGAGAAAAATCAAGACCCATAAAAGAAAAGTTTAAAAATTAGATTTGAATATGAATACTAAATATGCATCCAATGATTTTGATTTTCCGACATATCTTTAAACCGAAGAGGTCATATAACTGGAGTTCTCGTAAATTAATTTTTGTAATGTAACAATTCTTTATTACTTTAAACCATTCTCTATTAGGCAAATAAAAATCATAATTGGCACATGATATAACAGTATAATAATACATGAAAAATTAAAATCTTACTGATAGATGGAGCAAGTATATCTCCACTAAACAAAACCAAGGGATCCTCTTTTTCAAAACTTTTTATCGCTGTACAAAACCTTGTAGCACCAGCTACTGGTTCAGTCTGTTGCTCTTCTACATTATAAACATCATTAAAATGTAGGATAGAAATTATTTTGTTGGCAACAGACATTCTTACTCGATTTGAAGAAAAGAGTCTATAAAGTAACCTAAAAATAAAACATTAGAATATATTTAAATAGATAGTAAATAAAAGACATTCTAAAGTATAAATAGCTAAGTCGTTTGATAAATATAGTTTGAGGATAAATTTCAAAAATCAAAGCCCTTGACCTTTAAAAAAAGATATGGAATATTTTCTACATAAAACCATTAAATATGCTGTAAAACATACAACAGGGGTGGCGAACCTTTATGCACCAACATGCCATTTTTTCAAAAAATTGTTCAATGAGGTCCTAGGCGTGCCGTCAAGTAATTTTGACTTCTTGATTATTGGGAAAATAATATTAAATCATATCAACTCAAAACTCTTTATTTACTATGAAAAAAAAAAACATTTTGCAATGTCTCAGTTATACGCGTAATTCGACCTAAAGTAACATTAGTGTGACTTCTGTTATCAGATTAGAAGACAAATTACTTATATTAGGTTGTAAGAAATTAGTTTTTTTTTACTAATTATTTATTGTTAGCTTGTTTTTTACAGTTATTGTTTTTTTGGCATTAAATTTCTAATTCTTTTTGTCAATTGTTTAATTTTTTTGTTTTGTTTTTGTGAATTTTAATTTAATTGTTAATATTCTTCATAGTGAACTTTTTGATCGATGGCGTGTTCAGAATATTGTGTCACGTGCCATAAATGGCACGAGTGTCATTGGTTCGCCATCCCTGACACATAATATACAGGAAGAAAAATAAAATTTTAAAGAAAGTACTGAAACACTTATGAAATAATAATAGATTAAGTAATATTGCTTAATAAGAATAATTAATGGGATCTCCAGATCGATGCTTGTTCACACTAACTTTTATCAATTAAACACCAAAGGGTTTTTAGTAACAAAATGTTTAAAAGAATATATACAATTTGCCAGGGAGAAGATATGAATTATGTCGTACAACTTGATCACCTTCTCTGTTTGTTTTTTTCAATTTTCATGAGTGCTATTGTTCAGCTGTCACCAAAAAGTGAATTTTTTTCAGTGTAGATGCTGGAAATCATCTCAAATAAACGAATAAATAAATAAATAACAAATATTTTATATAATTAAATACATATGACAAAATATATAATTAAATAACCGACTAATATTACTTACCGCATAAGGTTCATAAAGGAATATTAAATAACATATACAAAATAAAAATAAACTTGAATGAAACATATCTTTAAAATTCAGATAAAATATATTTAAAGAAATAATAATGGGAATTATTTATAAAATAATAGAAACAAAACTTATGAAATAATAATTTATAACGTTTATTAAGAGTTAATTTAGGTTTTTTAAGTCATAATTAATATAACAAATTTAGAACTTTTTAAAAACAAATTTATTCGTTCAAATTAAAAATCAATATCTTAATACCATAAGGAGAAGCTAAAAATAGCTTCGATTTTGATGTTGTATTAAATATTGATTTTTTCTTTTAAGTTTGAGTCAGCGACTTTAAATGAATCAAATGGGGAAACAGATTGAAGCCGCAAATGAATCAAAATAACCTTTAAAAACATTATCTAGGTTAGAAATCTACGTACATGATTTTCGAGACACCCACACATAAAAGTAAACAAATAAAGCCAGGAAAATTTTCCAATTTTTTATTTGAACAAAGGTAAGAAAGGTGATAAAAGATTTTATTCCCATGAAAGAGATAAAAACAAAGTTAACCTACAAGGTTGCTGATAAAGCCAGTATTTGAATAAGCCCAGAGTTGAACCACAGACTAGATAAAACTAAAATAAAATAAAATTATAATTGCGAATATGAATGAAAAACATATTTTAATAATAGTTATAGTATTAATCTTGAAAAACGAAACTTAAAAAATAGTTTATAAAGTTTCGTGTTTATTAAATAGTTTAAAATTATATTTAGAAGTTAGAGAAGGTCATTATTAAACTTACTGAGAGAATATGTAAAGGAAGGACAGAAAGCGCCTAACAATAGATAATTTTTTTTAATAAGGGAAGTATGCAAATGTCATATTTTTCATTACAGCATCATCCGGAAACAAACAAAACAATCAGACAAATTAATACTGTTGCCATTTTCAGAAAAGTGTTTTCAAAATTTTACTGATATATAGACAGGGTTAGCCGAGAGACCAAAACTCGAATTTTAAAAAAATGACGGTGGATGATTAACCGTGTAAAGCTAAGCACAGGTGACAATATTCATCGTAAGACTTTTTCGTTACTAATTCTGATTTCTTCTTATGTCTAACTTTTAAAGAGCGTGCCAGCTATTATTGATATACTATCAGTGTTTACAATATAACAAGTCCTTTGATTTTAACCTTAGATTTATTCGTTTAATTTCAGCAGAAAACAAATTTAACTCCACAAGCATTTTACAATGCTACTCAAAAAATAACAAATAACGATATTTTACACAAATATAGTCAAATAGGGATAACATGATAACAATCGAAACATGGTAAACTATTTGTTATTTACATTGCGATATTAGCTTTCTTAAATCCATTTGGGGCTCACCACCCTAAGAATTTATAAATTGCATAAAACTTTTATGAATGGTAAAATTAAGCATAGATTCAAATACAAATCATAATTATAAAACATACTAGAATATCAAGCCTATATTCCACACATCCACTAGTAAACGTAACATAAGCGGAGGTATAAACCGAAAGTTTTCTATATTTCTACTGAAATCAGATGGAAAAATTAAATCTTAAAAATAATCCTAATAATTTTCTGCATGGATGGATAGTCCTATAAAACTAAGCACACGTGGAGCTAAAGGTTAACATTTATCGCTTACTTCCGATTATTCTTAGGCCTAAAATAAGATTGAAAAGGCACACCAGCCAATATTATTCGCGATCGCAACACTCGAATAGGCCATCTGGGGAGAGACCGGTTTCATGCCTTTAGCCCTTCTCCCTTCCCTCTCCTCCTCTTTTCAGTTGTATAGGAATGTACTACGATAATTTCTTTTTTCTTAATATTTTTCCTTTTTATTTAATAAAAATATTTTTTTTAAATTTCTATGATACTTTTCTTTAGAACTATGTTTAAAGTAGTTTTCAGTTCCATATAGTTTTTCAGGTTAAAAGATTTTAATCTATGTGAAAATCAAGAGAGAAAGTAACGTACTTCCCTCCTCTATGACTTTCCACACGCTAATGGGGAAAGCATGTGAAGTGTTGCCATAGGAAAGGAGTTCTGCTCTACGCCACCTGCAGCCCATTTCGATCGCCAATTATACTTATAATGTTTATAATATATCGTGAGTGATATTCAATCTAACTTTCAATGAAACTAACAACAAATGGGTTCAGAAGACTCCGCAAGTGTGCAACGATGCTACCCAAAAAATAACAATGATATTTTGCGCAAATATATTCAAATGAGGCGATCTTTACGACTGGTTAGCTATATGAATCATAAAATAAATACGCACCAGGTAGTTCAAATTCAATTTTTTGTGAAGAAAAAAAAAGAATTTGCAAGCATGAGTGTTTCGTAATATTTATCGAGCTCTTGTCAATAATTAAGTCGAATAAGTATACATATTAGAGGTAGCAAATTTAAGCAAAGATAAAAACAATACAAAAAAAATCGAAATCTGATAAATCGCTATTGAGAATACAGGATTAAAAGCATCAAAACCAGTTTGATTGCTAAATAAGAAGTTGTTTTTCAGAATCGTTTTTTACCTTCTCTCAGTTTAACTCGGAAATCAAACACGTTTTGATTTTGAGGACTCACCTTCCTCTTTAATGCTTCGTCAGTATTTGATAACATTTTTCTTTGATCTCGCTAACTATCAATTTGCGAGCTCAAACATTTACTTTTCTTATTTTAATTTTTACTAGAACTCTAAAAGTAAATATTAAGAGGGGTAATAACGGAACACTCTAGATTTGAACAATCCCGTGCTTAAAAATTCATAGATTAATACATATTTGCGGATTCATGGTGTTACTGCTTATTTTAGTTTTTGTAATTCAACATTACTGTAATGGTGAAACTGTAATGGTAACTCAACTTCACTGTAATGTAATGCAAATAATTTTAATTTTTATGCACTATCAAGCCACCTCCGAAGACCAGCGGATCCACTTTTTTACATAAGAATTTAAAGTATTTCGAGGTATAATATTGTACATTTAAAAATCAAGACAAAATGTTAGCATAACTCATAAACTTATCTTGCTTAAGTGAGAGGGGATTTAATAATTTGTTTCTTACATGTTCCATTAGCATCGTGATAACTTAGTTATTAAAATGTTCGTTACAACATATGCTAACATTTTAAATAATAGTAAATAAATTATTTTAATGGTGCTTTTGATGGATAATAAAACGAATTAGCAACTTTTTTAAAATCAAATTGTCCACTAATTTGCTATTATTAACTAAGCGAAGGTCATGAATTTTATTTGTCAATGTTTTTTTGCCAAAACTGGCGAACTTTGATTGTTATAAATTTCCATAAGTTAAAAAAACATATAGAGCTTAAACTGTAAATAAATTTTAAAGCAAAAAATAATTTTGAAAAAGAAAAAAAAACTAGCTTTGCCGCTGTTTAAGAACTAAAAGACAGCTTAACCAAGTAAATGAGTACGTTAAAAAGTCAAAATCAGTTTTTAGATTCATATGGCACGTTTAATTGGTATTTAAAATTAACTTTTGATTATTAATCAGTTTTTTCTAACACTTTTAAGTCTTGACAAATATTTTTTGCTGTTAAAAATATTTCTTTCCTTAATATTTAGGCCCAGGATTTAAGACGAATTATTTTTAAACCTTAAATGTGAGTAGACAAGCATATAATTTTACGTTTAATAATCATCTGCATTGAGTGACTAACTCTTTTGCCATTAAAAGTTCAGATTACTTTTATGAATTTTTAATATGTTAAAGAATTAAAAATTTCTGTTTAAAATAGATGTAAAAAAAATCATTTATATTTATATTTGGCTAGAAAACGATTTTAGTATTTGAGTTTAACTATTTTAAGTAGTTAAAAGGCCGTTTGGAGGAATAAGAATAAACACATTTAAATTCAAAATTACTTGTGATGGTAAAAGATGGTATTTCCTTAATTTTTGACAACTTATGTCAGTCCGCGCATTTATTTTTAGTACGGGTTTTCGGCTTTTAAATTATGAGTTCAGCGGGTTAAAATGAGGTTTTTCCCTTTTTCTCTAGATTCGTCTGCATCCAGCATTTATACATTTTGAAACGATGCTATTTCCATGACAGCGCAATGTTGAAACAATGATGAAACACAGTTTTCAATGTTGCATGTGAACCACTCAATATAGAGGAATGAGAAAATATTAACAATCTGTTACCGGAGAATTCCGTGCCAATCAATGAAGATGAAGCCGTTTAAAAGATATAAAGAAATTTAAGCTGTAACAATGAGTTTCTTATTTTTGATATTGCATCAGAGTTACATGACGTTGAAAAGTGGTGACTATTCACAAACTTACTATGAAAATTTGCCAACTGAAAAAAAAAAAATGGATCAAAATTGGTGCTATCGTTTTAGAGTAATTAGCGAATATCCATATGGATAAACTTTCGCTTTTATGTTCGGTCAGAAAAGAAAAAACGATTCACTTTCTTCTGACTTTTTAAACGGTTGGTCAGATTTTCGTTCTGTAAAGGGCTTTAGAACTATCTCATAGAAAGGATGTTAAAAGATGTATAACAGTTAACTGCAACCGTGACAGAATATACTCATCTTGACCAAACAACGCACTTTTTCTTAAGAAACCTACCTATTTAAAAAAAAAAAAAAAATTGAATTTGTTATCCCCGAAACAGGAGAAGCAGATAAAGTTTTGAAAAGCAGCTTAAACAATTTAACAGTTAAAACGGTTAAAAAATTTTTTACTCTAATGTTATTTTAATGTGTTACGTTTCTCGTTATATCTTTTGAATGATTGATCTTATTAACTAATGATCTAATTATCTTATTGGTTATCGTATTGATTGATTGATCTAATTATCTTATTAACTAATTATTATTTTGTCCCCACCTGTGTGCATAGATATTGTATACGCGTTTAATAATTTTAAGGATAAATAAATATAAGAAACTTGATAATAGTGTGGTGAAGTTTTGAAATAATGACAAAATTTAAGAAACTTTTGCTAACCTTAATTTTTATTACAACAGCATTTTAAATATTGTAAAATTCTAGAACTTTCACCTCGGTAAATATGTAACTATTGTATCATGGTTTTTTTAAAACTTTAATAGTGGCAATGAAAATAAGACAAAGTTTGATCATTTAATAAATTTGTGACCACCACTATATGCCATTTTGTAAAGAAAACGTACCTTTCTGAGAAGTACTCCAACCTTTAACCCTTTCGCTCCGACCGTCACAAATACGTGCCAGCATAAAGCCGTATCAACCAGGGTAAAAAGATAAAACTGGTAATCAAAGTATTTCTTTAGCAGTTTATTTGTGGGCGGAGTTATTATTGTTTCATTCATTTAATTCACCATTACTTTGTTCAAAATAAAACTATTTAGTTATACTTTGATCTAACATTGATTATATATATGATTAAACTAACAATAATTAAAGTAAAAGCGAAGTAAGTCTGTCAAATTAGCAACGACCACATTTAAGTTACCGTTTTTTATTTAATTACATCCTGATTCCATACCTGCCAACTCTTCCGGATTTTCCCGAAGATTTTATTTTAATATTTAAGTGGTAGCAATACTCATATTATTCCAATTAGCTTTTTGAATTATAATGATAATTATAAATGAGTTTGACCACCACTACATATAAATAATTACAATAAATATATAAAAGCATAATAATCCATGCGCAAGCAAATTTTAACGGGATCAAAATATAAATATATTTTTGAGTCAGATTGTTTTTCGTTAATTGTATTACAACCACTCTGAATATCCATTCTCGGAAAGAGTGAAANAATAAATATATAAAAGCATAATAACGGGATCAAAATATAAATATATTTTTGAGTCAGATTGTTCTTCGTTAATTGTATTACAACCACTCTGAAAATCCATTCTCG